CTTCCCAGGTCTGTGAGGGCTCACGTCTGCCCAGCCCTGGGTCTCGGCTGGTGGCTGGTGGCCTGCCCTCAGGGGACGCCTGGGCCTCGAAACACCCTCCCCCCACCCCCGCCCAGGGCCGCCCAAGGGCCCCCAATCTGCCTCTTTGAGCAAAAAATCCAGGGATGCTGAGACCACCTGGGTCTGCAGAGCTCGGCAGGCAGGACGGGGAACGGCGGGGCAGTCACCTGGGGGCCAGGGAGCCCCGCTGACCAGCAGTCCCCCCAGAGGAGGGGCAAGGTCCAGGGCCATGACAGAGCCCAGCAGAGGGTCCGCTGCGAGCCCAGGCGGTGTTCGCAGAGGTCAGCACTGGACGCCTGCAGGGGCCTCCCCAGGGGCCAGGGCCGTGCGGTCTGGACACCTCCTAAGAACGCACCGTCTCTTCCGCAAACAGCTTCCAGCGCACGGAAGCAGGGATCTGCCAAACCCATTCACAACTCGAGCACGGTCTCGACTCGGAGGCGGATGAGGGCAGAGTAGGAAAGATGCGTCGGCTGTCTCACTCGCCAAGGCAGACGTGCAAGCCCAGAATGACACAGAGCACATCACTACCTCGGTGGATGCAGAAAACGCTTTTACAAAGGGCAACGCCTGCTCGTGATTTGTAAGTCTCAGAAAATCAGGAACAGTAAGTAACTCCCTGAGCTCGAGAAAGGCTTCTTCACAGAGAACCTGCAGACCATTCCTCTAAGAGCAGGGTGGGGACACCCTGAGACGGCGGCCAGCGACAGACAGCGGAGACCCAGTCACTGCAGCGCAGCACGAGAGAGACGAGAGCAGGACTGGCACGGGGAAGAAGGAAGACGTGGGGACCCCAACAGACAGAACCACAGCAGACACCTGGAGCAGGAACCGCGTGCGGCCCACAGCGTCAGACGCTGACCGCCGGGGCCCAGGAGACCACCGTCCAGCAGTGCACACGAGGACACTGGGCGGGGGTAATAGAATTTTCTGTCACAGGACATAAAAGACTGAGAAAGGAGAAAGACGGTCAGGCCTGTGCAGGAAACCACGACAGCGTCAAGACTCTAACTCTCTCCCAAGCCCTCGGTCAATTCCGAGACACTCCCAGCAGTAATTTCCGAGGAACTCGGCAAACGCCCTCGGTTCCCTGGAGAGACTAAGTCTGGGGACAGACACGTCCCTTCTGGTGAAGCAGGGCCCTGCAGGGAGACCCGTGGCCCTGCCCACAGAGGTTGCAGGTGGAGCCCGAGAGGCCGGGCAGAGAAGGTGCTGCTGCCCGGAGAGGCGGGCGGCGGGGTCCCCTCGTCAGGCCAGGGGCAGAGAAGGTGCTGATGCCCGGAGAGGCGGGCGGCGGGGTCCCCTCGTCAGGCCAGGGGCAGAGCAGATGGCTCCCCACCCGAGCCAAGGGCCGAGGCCACGAGTGAAAGGCGAATCCATCAAGTGAAGATGCCGCCTTGCTTGACCTGGGGCTGGGGAAGGATCCAGGATCCCGAAAGCACAACCAGGAGAACGGAAGTGTGCGGGGTCAGGCCGGCGGGTTTTGGGCTTTCTGTCTGAGGAAGGGCACCACCAGCCTCCTGCCGCGGCCGTGAATCCCAGAACACACGCGGACTCTGGAAGCGACCAACACCAAAGGGGGCGGCGAGCATCGGCGCAGGGAAGTGGAGCTCGAATGGCAGAGGGGCCCGTGGAGAGGTGCTGGATCTCAGCGGCTGCGAGACAAAGCAGGATAGCGTGCAAAGGCGTCACACAGGCAGAAGCAGAAACCAGACAATGCCGACAGGCCGCGGCACTGGGGAGCATGGCTGCAGCAGTGGCGTCCTCTTCACTAGAGACCCTCTCGTGCGCTAGGGGGTGGGAGATACAACGCCCCCCCGCCCTGCACCAGTGCCGACACGGGGTGACGCGCAGCCTGCAGCAGAGGCCCCCCGCCCTGGAAGCCAGGGCTCACGGTCCTGCTAAGGGAACCCTTCCTGGCGAGACCCCGGAGCCCAGGACACGTTCTGGGGAGGCCTGAGACCAGGGCTGTGCTCCTACCGGGCAGACTGGGCCGTGTGAGTGCTTCTAAAGCAGCCAGAGGAACCCCCAAGATAGGGAGGGCACCCCTCAGCTGAACCTCGTGACGTCTTTCGGTGACGACGCCAACCAGGCTTGGAGCCTCAATGGGAGAGAGTCCCAGAGACACTCGGTAGGAAACTCTAGGCCGGGCTCTGGCGAGAACTACTGGCCGAGTGGCCCAGACCACAGCCCCTCTCGGGAGCCCTGCTGTGTGGCGGCTGCCCGAGGACAGCAGATGGCCCTCGGGGCTGACGGCCCCAGACAGCAGAGGGAAGGTGGCAGGAGGTTCTGATGTGACACGGAGAGCTCCCTGGGCGCGCACGGTGGCCCTGGAGATGCCCCACCCGAGCAGGGTGGGGTCCTTGCTCACGGTGGGGGGGTGGCCCACGCCCTGACCCAGCCCCCTCAGCATGACCCAAGGCACGGGGCCTTTCTGCCCCTCGGGCCAGTGCCAGGGCACCGTGCAGCAGCAGGAGGATGGGACACAGCCACGGAGGGGCTGAGGGTGACAACTCCAGCCCGGGGCTGCGATGGACACAGAAGAAAACGTGCTGCTTTGGGAAACATGGAGCCGTGCGCTCACAACGGGCAAGCCGTGTGCAGTGAGCCAGACCTCGGCACAGCTGAGCACGAGACCCAGGGCCACGTGCCACACGTCCTTCCAGCCCAGCAGCGTGTCGACTCCGCGTCCATGAACACTCGGAAGAAGCCGCCCTCTCCTCCCGGCCAAGCCGGGCCACGGCCGGCAGGAATTTCCACGCAAAGAAACCCCTACCGGATGAGCCAGGCATCCTACCTACTTAGCTTTTGCACACACACACACGCACACGCACACGCGCGCGCGCACACACACACACACACACACACACACACACGATTCTCCTGACCAGTAAGCAAACCTGCCACCTTCTATGATCACAGCTCACTGCAGCCTTGAACTCCTGGCCTGCGGCAATCCTCCCACCTCGGCCTCCCAAAGCGCTGAGGATATGGGCGTGAGCCACCGAGCCTGTTTAGGGCACTATTAAAATTACTTTTTGTGCCCCACAGAGCTAGCTAGCGACAGGAGAAAGACAGCGAGCTGTAGGGATGCTTGTCTTGGGATTAAATGTTTGGCGTGGAACAATCGATGCCCAACCCCAAAATGTCCAGCTTCCTCCAGCACTGAGTTAGACAGTCCGTATCTCTGACACTTCACTTTGCCGCTTCGTTTCTTGTTTATTGTGCAGGTACATCCTCAGTCTTTCTAACGCACGTTTTGGCTTGTGACTACCTTTTAAACTTTTTTAGAGAGTAATTTTTGTGAAACCACGCATAAGTCAAAATTTCATGTTATTTTCGAATAGGAGTTCCGTCGTGGAACCAAAGCACCGCAGGCAGCTTGAAATACCAATAAAGTGTTGGGGAGGGATGTAGCTACATCAGTGGTTTGAGAAGTTCTGTCCTGGTGATTTTAATCTTGAAAATGAGCCACGTGGGCGACCTGAGACCAAGGTGGATAACGATGAGCTGAAAGCTGCAGTGGAAGCGAATCCACCTCAACCTGCACATGAATTAGCAGCAAGGTTTGACGTTAATATTCCAGCAACATGGGACCATTTGAAACAAATGGGCAAGGTAGAGAAGCTGGATAGATGGGTTCTGCATGAATTAAGCGAGCGTAAGAAGACAACTGTCTCGAAGCTCACCTTTCTCTGCTGTCACGACATAAAGGTGAACTGTATTGCTACATGTGATAAAAAATGGATTCTTTTTGACAATCGCACAATGGTTGGATGAAGATGAAATGCTGAAACACACAGTCTGAAACCAAATATTCATCAAAAAAAGCTAATGGTGTGTGTCTGATGGTCCAGCGCTGGCATTATCCACACTACAGCATCATGAAACCCGGTTAATTGATTACAGCGGATGTCTACTGCAGCCAACTGGACAAAACGAGGATGTCTGTGATTAAACAGCTGAGATTGGTCAACAGAGACAGGCCAGTCCTCTTGCAAAACAACACTCAGGCACATGTCGCACAAACAACGCTGCTCAAACTACAGAGGCTGGACTTGGAAACTCTCTGTCATCCACAGTATTCACCAGACCTTGCGCCAACTGACTACCACTTCTCCCAGGCTTTGGACCACTTCTTGCAAGGAAAAATGTTCAATTCTCAACAAGCTGTGGGAAACGCCTTTTGCGATTTCATCGCCACTCTCTCCAGGCTTCTTCACTGCTGGCGTAAACAAGCTACCATTGATGGCAAAACTGTGTGGACAGCTTAGGCGCACACTTTATGTACTGCTTCTTGTTTGGGATATAAATGACGCTTTTATTCAAAATCGGACATTTCACGTTTAATGACCTATCTTCTCCACATCAAGGGCCTGAGGAAAACCTCCAGACCAGGCAGGAAAGCGGCTGCTCCATGTCACCATGTGGGGACAGAGGTGGGTTAACAAAAACCCATGAGGCCAGGAGGTTGTGGTGGTGGCGTCTGTAGCCCCAGCTACTTGGGAGGCCAAGGCGGGAGGATCGCTTGAGTCCAGGAGCTGGAGGCAGCAGTGAGCTGTGATGATGCCATTGCACTCTAACTGGCAACAGAGCAAGACCCCGTCTCAAAAAAAATAAAAAGAGAACACCCGCATGGATAAGGAGTGACACGCAGACACGGTGTAGGAGGCAGAGACGCTGCCTGTCTCCGTGGTGGGGTGGCCACGTGCGTGTACGTGTTTGTCCAAACCCGTCAAACTGCACGTCTAAAATGGTGCCTCAATAACTTGACGGTTTGAAACAAAATAAAAGCGATCACTTCCTGAGAAGATGAAAGGGAGCCCGGCGACCCTGCCGCGTCCCACAGTTGACCGGCCGCCGTCACTAGGGCCACCACGGCTGACGCCACTGGCTAGACGCAGCACACCCCCAAGGCCCAGGGCCCGGGACCCCCTTACCGGCTCTGGCTCCCGCTGGGGTTCCTGGCCGGGCTTGGACTTCTTCGGCTTGGAGGGGCCTCCAGGGCTGGAGAGGGACTTGGGCAGTTTGGCCGAAGGCGCCGGCAGAGACCTCGTGGACCCAGTAGGGCCCCCCAGTCGCTGACCCCCGCCAGAGAAAGGGACGAAGGGGGCAGGCACGGACGCCTTCCTGCTCGGCTCCGCCTCCATGTCTGCTGCCTTCAGGCCCAGGCTGTCCGCATGGCTGGTCCCCGTGGTGCCCGCGTCGTCCGGACGGCCCAGGTCCCCCCTGCTGAGCTCCCCCGAGTTCAACGGAAGCAGGGGGCTGCTAGCCGCCTGCCCGGCCGACGCAGAGGAGGTTGGGCTCCCGGAGACCTTGCCCCCGGCCGCCCCGGGCTCCGGCGTGCCCGCAGGGTCACAGCTCTTCGTGGCAAACCTGAGCGGGGAGCCCGGAGAGAGTGAAACGTCCTCTGGCCTCGCCCTCTGGGAACACCTCACTCGCCCTCCCTACGTCCACTGCAGCCCTGCAGCCGGGGCAGGAGCCGAGGGACTTGCCCTCTCCCTCCCCCATGCCTGGGCGAGGCAGCAGGTCTTCTCTCCACCTTCCCACAGCCCCTACCTGATGGTGGCACTGCCCCCGGTGAGGCCCAGCGACTGCAGGGTCGTGGTCCGCAGCGCTGCTCCGCCGGTCACCTGCAGGAAAGCCAATGGGACAGGTGGGCCTCAGCCCGGACGCACCACTGGCCGGGCGTCCCCACCCAGCTCAGGAAGCCCGCGAGGCTCAGGCCCCGCCGCAACCCCAGGCGCCTTCCTCTGCACAGCGGCCCCGGACGCCAGCCCTCCCCCAGCCCGGACAGCAACCTTGGACCCCGGCCAGCCCTCCACTCTGCCCCACACCCTCACTGACCTCCCCCACGCACCCCTGGTCCCTGCTGGTCCCCTCGCTCCGCCAGGCCTGGCCAGCATCTGGCCTGAGGCGGGTAAGGGCCTGATGACCCTCTGTCTCCCGACCCAGCCGGATCTCAGCATCACCCAAGCCTACCGGGGCCTGGGCCAGCGGAGCCCGGCCGGGTGGAGGATGCTCTGCCGCCCAGACCCTCTGCCCAAGGCCAAAGGCTGAGGAGAGGGAGGGGCTGGAACGTGCTGTCACCCGAGGGGCAGGCAGGGAGGCCTGGATAGGAACCCACATGGGTAGGATGCAGGCCACAGGCAGCCTGACCTGGCCGGGTCCCTGCGTGAGGGTCGCCCAGCTCTGCAGACGCTCACAAGGCCCCAGGAGCCCTGCAAAGGGGGTCTGTTCCTCTGGGTGGGCCCCCGAGTCAATGCCCGGTTTCACTTGCTCTGGGGGCCTGGCCAAGGTGACACTCTGGCTGCAGTTGTGCCAGCCCGACCTGACACCTCCCAGGGCAGCCCCCCGCCAGCGCTGCCTAGGGGACACTGCCCACCCAGGCTGGCCACGGCTCACGTTGATGCTGACCTCTGAGGGCGGCAGGGAGCTACTTTGACAAGGCCCTGCACCCCCAACCCAAAAGGCCAGGCCCAAGGGCCAGGCCCTGCACCTCCAACCCGAAAGCCAGAGGCCTGGGCAGCCACGGTCCAGACCTGAGTCCCCAAGGCCCAGCAGCCTGTCCCTACAAGCGGTCTTCCCTGTCCTCCTCTCCCAGCCTACAGCCCCCGCCCCCGCTCTGGGCCAGGGAGCCCCCCCTGGATGGATGGGGGCAGGCTCCCGGCCTCACCAGGGCCCACCCAGGGCCCCCAGGGACAGCGGCCCCCCGGGCCAGCCAAGGGCACCCTGCCAGGGTGGGAACAAAAGGCCCCTGTGAGGCCAGGGCACCGGGTGCTAGGAGGGTCCCGTGGGCGGGTGGGGCTGGCGCACGAGCAGCCTGTTGCCAGGCCTTGCCTGCGCCACGCTGCACTCGGTTTTGAAAAGGATCAAAACACGGAGCAAAGCAAATATTTATTAAACGAAACCACTTTTGTGACTCTTGGGCTTGAGAGAAGCTGAAAAAACAAACAGGCGTTGAGGGAGGTTTCGGGACAGCCCCGGCGGCGTGGCCAGGCTCCGGCGGGCGGCCATGCCCCGTTTTTTCCATGAAACACAACGTGCTTTCAGGAGCCGGGCCTCCACCGCCACTTTGAAGACGGCCGGCTTGGGGGGAGCGGGCCACGGGTCACCTACCTCGTCCCGCATGTACACGCACATGGGCGTTGCCCCGCCCGGCCGCTGCAGGCACTCCCTGAAAGGAGAGGAGACAAAACATAGGGGACCTGCAGGGCCAGGCAGGACGGCTGGGGACCCCAGGGCACCCGGCCGGTCTCGGTGGAGGCCCCAGGGCTGCAGACTTGAAAGGTGAAGGGTGGGGCCCGGCCACCGGTCAGGACAGCGTCCCAGGCCTGGGTCCGCAGTGCTCGGCCCGGCAGCCCGCCTGGCCAGGCCTCTCCCAGGCCTCCTGCTGCGCCCCACAACCACCAGTTGGCAGCCAGTGCCGGAGCCCTTGGGGGGCCTTGGCGCACAGTCTGGGGTTTCCCCGACACCGCCCCCTCTCGGAAGGTCTCGTGCTGGCAGGACGGAGCCAGGGGCCTGGCCCAGGGCACGGGCAGCACAGCCCCGCTTCCCAGGCACCCGCGGCACCTGCACTCAGCATCGGGATTCGGGGTCCCGGGGCCTGGGCTTCCATCTGAATCCATCCCCTGAGAGGGTCGCCGACCCCCTAACCCACCGGGCCCAGCTCAGGGCACAAATCCATTAAGGGGACGCCCAGCAGACAGGCCCAGGTCCCGGTGGCCCTGCTGCTGTCTCCTCTGCCCCACCCCGAGGGAGGATGCGGGACAGAGGACAGTGGTCTTCCGGAAGGGCCGGAGCTCCAGGTCTCCACATGTGCCGCATGTCGGAGTCACGGCCTGCATCATGCCCCAGCTGCGCGACCTCAGGCACCAGGTGTCCCCACTGCCTGGCTGCGCCTTCTGCAGAAGCACTGCCAGACACCCGCGGGCTGGCGGAGCAGGGCAGGCTCCCAGGGGCTCTCGATGGTCCTGAGGTGGCCACCGTCACCCCAGAAGAAAGCAAAACTGAAGCGGCAACTTGGCGCAGGACGCACCGGCTCTGGGCCCCAGGCCCCCAGACGCACATGCAGACACCTCCTCTGGCCAGTGTGGCCACAGCACCTGCAGCCACCTGGTCACCCACACTGGCCAGGGATGCAGGACACAGGCAGGTCAGGAGGTGCCGACAGGCCCTCCCCATTGCCTGCAGCCACCTGGTCACCGACACTGGCCAGGGACGCAGGACACAGGCAGGTCAGGAGGTGCCGACAGGCCCTCCCCACTGCCTGCAGCCACCTCGCAAGGAGAGGGATGGGGACCCGAAGCCCCTCTCGTGCGCAGGCTGTGCTCATGCTGAGACGGCGGTGGGTGTCTGTCCACGTACGCCCGACTCTGCCGCCATCTTTCTGAACGTCCCATCCCTAGGAAGCACTGCTGGACAGACGCACAGGCGGGAGCAGCATGCACACGTGGCCACGCGCTCACACACGTGGCCACGCGCTCACACACCCGACACACGCCGGCCCACCTGTGCTGTCCGGCTGTGACACGGGCACCAGCAGACACTTCCCGGCCCTGGAGCGCCCAAACTGCTGATGGCTGCCGGGGAAGGTCGCCTCTGCATTTCCCAACAAACCACTGCAAAGGGCACCCCCGAAACAACAGAAGCCCAGTCCAGCCTCACAGGAGAGGCCCCGGGCCAGCCGCTCTCCAGGGAGGGCACGCTGAGAGCAGCACGGCAAGGCCGGGAGGGGCTCGGTCGCAGACGCAGGTAAGAGCTGGGCAATGCTCACGGGGGGGGGCGGGGGGGCGAGGGGGGCATAGAGGACAAAGGGGATGGGACATCCAGGCACACACACACACACACACATGCACACGCATACACACACGTGCACACGCACGTAGCCAGCTCCCAGAGGCAGGTGTGCCAGCCTCCACCACGCACACACAGGTGTGCTCTCCAGGGGGCGGGGGCACCCACCCCAGCTCCTGACCACAGATGCCAGTCTGCTCCAGGGAGAAAGACCAGATTTCATGGAATGGGAAGAGGACCTGGCAGAAAGGGACTTGGCACCAAACCCAGGACAGACACCTGCGTGCCCCAAACCGCTCCCCAGCCCGAGCCCGGCCATGACTCCGTGTGGTGGGTTTGACACACTTTCCCATTTCTTGTTTTCTTTACTCTTCGCTTTTGCGTGTTTGCCGGGGGAGGTGCCGCCTCACCAGGAGGGCGCCAGGCTCAGCAGCACCTCAGGGCAGAGCGTGTCCCCGCCTGGGCTCTCCCAGGCCAGGACGGAGCCTCTGGGCCGTGGGACATGTGCCCCTCTCCCACAGTCCTGCCCTCTCCCCACGGACACCCCGTGGCCCCAGGCGCAGGCCAGTGCACCCCCCGCCGGTCCCGGACGGGGACGGATCTGGGGTCCGATCTCCCTCGAGCACGACAGAGACGGTGACTGGGCCACGGCGGGAAAGCTGCGAGTCACACAGCAGCTGAGCAGGCCGGTCCCTCTCCAGGCCCTCCCAGCACCGCAAATCACAAACAGGGACCCAGCGAGGCGGCATCGTGACATCAAACGCCAGCCGGGCTTTGATGTGCGGCTCCTCGAGGAGGCAGCCGTATCGTATTCCCCGGGCGGGATCTGAGCGGAGTGCCCGTAAACATGTTGTGCGGTGGAGGCATGCCGAGGGAGGGGCCTGCGATCACTTCCAGACCCCGCTCGGCCGGCCCGGCCAGTACAGTCCTGTGTCCAGGACGGCAGGGCCCCGGGAAAATTCCAGCATGCCAAGGAAACATCCTTTTGTGCACCAGCAGACCACAGCCACCCCATGACACATGCATCCACAGACCCCTGCAAGTTCCAGACGTCTGTGGGGAGCCCGGGCCTCCTGGTGCCACGGGCCTGCCCCCACGCCCAGGCCCGGCCGAGCCACTGCACAAGGAGCTCTGGAAGCAGACACGCCAGACCAGGCGGCGCGGCCGCCTCCGTGGGCACTTGCTCACTGGGTCACACAGGAGGGTGGCAGGGAGGACGGGCAAGTGCTCACGCCCCTCGGGCCAGCAGACCTCCTCCCCCGTCGGGGTCAGCAGAGACGGCCACCAAGGCACAGCAGCTGCTGCTGTTGGCTCCACAGATGTTCCTCTCACCAGAGCTCCTGTGCCCCATGGGTGCGCCCTGTGCCCACTGAGCCACACGTGCACTGGGACAGGCAACGTCCAGGCCCTCTGTGCTTGTCACCTGCTTGGGTCTGACCAAGCCAGGCAGGTGTAAGCACAGCTGCTGCCAGCAGAGCCCAGCAGGAGCACACCCCCACGTGGGAGTGGCAGAGCCCACGGCACTGTGGCCACAACAGAGCCACTCTCCTGGCTCAGGGGCCCTGGGGGCTCAGCCACATCCCCAGGGTGCCAGGCGTCCAGGACCCCACCCGCCACATGACACTCTAGCCTCAGCTCAGGCTGGGGGAGCACAGATGCCCAGGTGACAGAGTCACAGTGTCACCAGGGGAACACGTCACTCAGTGTCATGGGACAGAAGAAGCCTCCGGCCTTCCCACACCGGCCAGGTGCAGATGGGGGACGTGGCCCTAGAGCTCAGAGCAGCCACCTGGCCAAGCACATCTGTCCCATCCTTGCCGGCAGGCCCGAAGCCCGCTCGCCCCCAGGTCCCAGAGATCATTGGCCTCCCCCAAGTCACAGCTTTTACCAATAGCAGGAGGGATGGGGCCTAAATGGACCCACAGGGCTGGACCTGGGAGAGGAGCTGGCCTGGGGTCGGGGCACACCTGGGGGCGGCAGTCACACCTGCAAGGGAAGACAAATCCCCTACACCTCAGAGCCCATCAACTTGACGTTTACAACAATCCTGCTTTTTCTTGTTTTTTTTTTCTGAGACAGGGTCTTGCTCTGTCACCCAGGCTAGAGTGCTGTGGCGTCATCACAGCTCACTGCAGCCTCACACTCCTGGACTCAAGCGATCCTCCTGCTTCAGCCTCCCGAGTAGCTGGGACCACAGATGCCACCGTGCCCCTAACTGTGCGTGGGCAGAAAGCGGCTCCTGCACAGGCTGCACAAACGCCGCCTTGCTCCCTTCCGAACACCCTGGGCTCACAGCCACCGGCAGGGCCCAGGCCCCCAGCTCCTCCATGCAGTCAGTCCAGATGGCTGCCTCACGCAAGGGCCCCTGGTGACCCTGTCCCCCGTGGGGCAGCTGGATGCAGCCTACTGCGCTCGCCAGCTCCCCCAGGCCCCTGGGGGACTGCCTGGACCTGCTGCAGTGACCCCCTGCAGCTCAGGTCTGCCGGCTTCAACCCACCAGCAACACCCTGGGGAAGCCTGTGTGGACAACACCTGGGACCCCAGCAGAGGTGCTGGCCGTGGGGCCTGCCTCCCCCTCCCCCCACGGTGCTGGGGACCCGGGTGCCCCCCCCCATTTCCCCCAGGGCAGGTAAGTATAAAATCTTCATTCCCGTCTTCTGCCTCTCCTCATCACTGAAGGGTGCTCACCACCGTAAAGATTCTAAATTAAAGCAGGCCCAGCTGGGCAGGCAGGGAGCAGAGTCCCCAGAGGTCAGCGAGGCCGTCCACACCCACCTGCCGGGCGGACAGCCAGGCTCCGGGAAAGACAGGATGCTCAGATCCGGCAGCCCAGAGCCCATCTGCAGGGCCGAGGCAGGGTCTGAGGAGCGGAGAGGAGTGGCCAGTCCTCACGGCGGGCGGCACCTCCGCCTTGTGGCCGGCCTGGAGGAGACAGCACCCGGTGTCACCCACACCGGGCTTCAAAGACTTCAAACCAACGAAAGAACATAAAACACTCAGTTTTCCTATTGATGACACACGTCCAAAGCAGGATGTTCTCAGTGTATTGAGTTAATTAAGTGCTTCATGAAGATTAATTACTCCCATTCTCATTCTTTTCTTTAATGCAGTTATGGGAAGGTCTCAGTCACCACCACGTGGCTGGTGTGGTGCTCCCGTGCTGGGGTGGGGCTGGGCCACAGGCCACCTTCCAACGTGGTGGCCTCGGCCAAGGAACGACCCAGGAAGCAGGCTTCACCCCGGGACGCCGCACTAACGTCCTCCGGGCTCCTGAGAGGGCCGTGTGGCCTGCAGCCCCCCAACCCGGACACCCTCCAGCACAGCGCTTAGACTGTCCCCATACTGTGACCCCTTCTGGAGAACATCGCAGGAGAAAACAAGCTCCCGCTTGTCCCACACCTGGGGACCTGCACTCCCAAAGCCGTGGGCCCTCGGCTCAGGCAGACCCGTCAGGGACTAGCTGCCCTCAAGCCACAGGCTCCCTGGAGAGACTTTTCCAGACTACTGCCACGGGTGTCTGGGAGCCACCTGGGGGCAGGGGCTCCACGTTCCGTGGGTCCACGTTCACCTAACCCCGCTGTCCTGACCGTGTAGGCACCCCCAGTACAGAGGACCCCAAGCTTCCCCCTCCCCAGAGAGCCACCTGGAGCAGGAGGGAAGCTAGGACCCCCCTGCCCCTCAGCCCGCTGAGGCTGCAGCTCCCGCCCCAAGTCCTGGACGGCTCCTGCCGCTCATCCTCAGAGACCTCATCCTCAGAGACCGTGTCTTTTACGTGGGCTCCCTCACTGCTGCTGTGGCGGCATTTGGGGGGGGGGTGTGAAGACTCATGGGCCTGTGCTCAGTCCACATCCCCGCAAGTCTCCACTTTTCATCCTCGAACCCACGTCGAACTCAGCCTCAACCTCCAGGGCCACTTCGAGATTTCTGACGCCAGGGTCCCCAAGAAAAGAACCTGCAGACCCCGGCACCCACGGCCGTGAGCATACTGTCAGGCACTGGGCCACTCAGCGCCACCACCAGGTCCAGGCCTCCCACCGTGGGGCCACCGTGGGTACCTTGCAGTCATCTCCTCCTGCACAGGCACCTCGGTGCCAGGCCCTGTTCTCAGAACTCAGGACGCGTGACTCCCCACACACCACCTGTGGCATAGACGTGGAGGGCAGGTGACTCAACCACGCCACACGGCAAACACCACGCCCTCCCAAAGTCCCTTCCGCTCCAGCAGCTCAGGCCTGCGAATGTGGACAAAGACCTCCATCCCCCACGGAAAAGATCCAGACGGAAGGGCAGCGGTTCTTGCGTTCAGGAATAAGGTTTAAACCATTAACCAACAGAGACAAACAGGCCAGGAGTGGTGGCTCATGCCTGTAACCCTAGCACTCTGGGAGGCTGAGGCCAGAGGATCGCTTGAGCTCAGGATTTCAAGGCCAGCCTGATCTAGAGCGAGACCCCATCTCTACTAAAAATAGAAAGAAATTAATTGGCCAACTGAAAATAAAAAAAATTAGCCGGGCATGGTGGCGCATGCCTGTAGTCCCAGCTACTTGGGAGGCTGAGGCAGGAGGATTGCTTGAGCCCAGGAGCTTGAGGTTGCTGTGAGCTAGGCTAACGCCACGGCACTCTAGCCCGGGCAACAGAGTGAGACTCTCTCTCAAAAAAAAAAAAAAAAAAAGGCACAGAGAGAAACACACACATCGATTACCATTAGAAGATTTTCTTTTCTCATGAGGGAATCTCACACCCACAGGATTTGCCACCAGAGGAGACGCCACCCAGTCCAGGGGTCCTGGAAATACTGATACTGTCCCTGTCCAGGGAAAGGCGGGCAGGCGGAGGACTGGCCCAGCACTCCCTTCTCCCTTCGCTGCTGCCAGGCCCTCGGGGCCTCTCGGGTCCCCACCAGGACAAAGGCATGTCTCTGCTGTTCCAGGGGAGTGGTGCCCGCCTGCTGGACCCAGGACGCTCAGCGGGAGGAGCCATGGGCACCCCGCAGGCGCCGGCTCGCAGGGGGAGCCCACTCGCAGGGGGAGCCCCCACACCCAGCCCCAGCCACGATCGCAAAGCACCGAGAGCCCGGGCCAGCCAGGCAGGGCTGAGGTTTCTGGCCCCGGACCAGCCTGATGACCACGGCCGCACCCCCCCCCAGAGGCTGGGGAGGAGCCTGGAACCCACCTGCCCGCACTCACCTGGTCTGTGGAAAATGGCTGAGAAGCTCCCAGAGGGTCTGGCCCGAACAGAAAGTGTCCTGCAGCCTGGAGCCGTCGTCCAGCTGCACAGCGATGCGGACCTGGAGAGGCCCAGACACGGAAACCGAGTCAGGAAGGAAAGAGGCCGACCTGGCGTGACCCACATCTCCCAGGGCCCCCGGGAGGGACTGACCCCAGGGGGCAGTGCTGCCCCTCTGCGCACGCTGGAGGCGGCTGAGGGCCACGGAGGCTCCCCCACCGCCAGGCTGCCCCAGCACATGCGTGTGCACACGTGTTCGCAGGCACACGGGAGGGACGCATCTTGGAAGGGCCGCTCCTGCCCCAGCGATGCCTTCGGGAGACTACAGCTCCACCACGTCCCGCCGCAGCCTCTCGGGACCCCGAGCTAAGCCGCTCCCAGATTCCTGACCCGCAGAAACCGTGTGAGATGGTAAATGTTTGTTGCTGTGTCTTACGATGCCCAGTTTTAGGGTAACTCGTCACTCAGCTATAGGTAACTAGTGTCCTGTATTTTCTGAGTCTTTTTCCCAAAATGAGCGTGTTACTTTTACAAGTCTATTTTTAATGATTATGTTCCTAAACAGAAACACAAGTCTGTAACCCAAAAGCAGGGAAGCTCCCGTCTGGCTCCTCGGCCGGCCGACAGCCACCCTGGGCGTGTGCACCAACCGGCCACAGACCCGCGTCCAGCACCTGCTGCCGCCAGGGGCGCCGAGACACGTGGCCCCCACCACGGCCTAGCGCTTAATTCTCCAAGTCGCAGCTTGCCCTGCCGTTAGCCACGGGACTCTTTTCCTTCAAATGCACCTTTACCGTAAATCTCAAGAACACACAGAGAAGATGCTCTTCGTGAAAATGTGCTGGAGTCTCCCCTCCACCCCCACGGCCTCAAGGAACCCCGACAGGAAACTAGGGTTCCTTCCACGAAGCAGTTTGAGGATCACAGTTGTAATGGAAAAAGACCAGAGTTAGGCTCAGTCCCGGCCCACTTGACCCCTGTGTTGGCCGGCGGTAGGCTTTGGAAAGCTACTAACACCCCCAAGACCAAGCCCCTGGTCTCTTTTTTTTTTTTTTTTGAGACAGAGTCTCACTCTGTTGCCCGGGCTAGAGTGAGTGCCATGGCGTCAGCCTAGCTCGCAGCAACCTCTAACTCCTGGGCTCAAGCAATCCTCCTGCCTCAGCCTCCCAAGTAACTGGGACTACAGGCATGCGCCACTGTGCCCAGCTAATTTTTTCTATATATTTTTAGTTGGCCAATTAATTTCTTTCTATTTTAAGTAGAGACAGGGTCTCTCTCTTGTTCAGGCTGGTTTTGAACTCCTGACCTTGAGCCATCCACCTGCCTCGGCCTCCCAGAGTGCTAGGATTACAGGCGTGGGCCACCGCACCCGACCTTCTTGACAAGGATAAAAACCCGCTTCCCTCTGATGTTGGGAGGCATCCTTCCAATCACATAAACAAAGGACCAGCAGGGCAGGAAAGAGAGAGCAGCTGCCGCTACGGCTCCTGTTTTTGTCACAACAGCTGTACTGACGCTCACTAAAATCTCGAGAACCTGAAAGTTCTAGACTGGGTGAAGAGCGGCGGATGCGATCAGAAGTGTGGCTGGGTCTAGGTGAGGCCTCCTACAGGAGGCCCAGAGCAGCCCTGGGCCCCACGCGGGGCCCTGCCCAGGCCCAGCTGAGAAACGAACAGGCCCCACACCTCTTCAGGCTGTAAGATTCTGGGTGATTCTATAACTAGAAACATCACACTGGTGGGCAAATGCTGCCAAGAAGCTGAGAAGGGTATCGCACAATTAACCTCATCAAAAAAAAAAAAGAGAGAGACAAAAAAATTTCACATGAAAAATAAAAAGTCTTGGCTGGGAGGCCAAGGCAAGAGGATTGCTTGAGGCCAGGATTTCAAGACCAGCCTGAGCAAGAGCAAGACCTCTGTCTCTTAAAACAGAAAAATTAGCCGGGCATGGTGGCAGCACCTGTAGTCTCAGCTACTCGGGAGGCTGAGGCAGGAGGATCACTTGAGTCCAGGAGTTGGAGGTTGCAGTGAGCGAGGCTGACACCACGGCACACCAGCCCGGGCGACAGAGTGAGACTCTGTCTCAAAAAAAAGAAAGAATTGCTCCTGCCTGACCCTGGGAGGCCAAACGATCGGATCCTAAGGCTCAGCCTCACCCTTCCTGGCCCCCCGACCCTGGGCACGCGGCCCCATCTAATCCACTTGCTGAGTCATCCTGTGCTCCCGACACAGGACAAGCCCCAGAAGCAGGCCTGCCGGTCCCCCCCCCCCAGCACTGCCTACCATGTTCTTGGGCCCCTCGCGGGTCCGGGAGGCGGGCACCATCTCCAGCTTAGCATTGTTAGGCAGGTTGGCAAACCTCCACTGCACAGAGAGGTCCAGCACGTTCCTCTGAAACCTGCAAAACAGACCAAAGCCACGCACTGCCCTGCAGACCCACACACACCCCAGTCCTGCCCGTGTCTCACAGCAACCCCCCACCCAGCCACCCCCCCAAGAACAGAAAGTCACAACCTCCAAAAACAAAAGGCAGTCCCCAACGATAGGGGGCCTTCCAGAAGGACAGACCAGTTCAGCACCGACACAGCTTCCCGTGCAAGAGGGAGAAAACTGAAATGCTGGCCTACGGGCAGACCAAGCAGCTGCTCCCTCAGAGTCTAAAGTGGTGGCAGCCGGAGGGCAGAGCCTCAGGGACGAAAACATGAGAAGGACTGCAGGCCAGGCGCGCTCAGGCCCGTAATCCTAGCACTCTGGGAGGCTGAGGCGGGAGGATTGCTCAAGGTCAGGAGTTCAAGACCAGCCTGAGCAAGAGTGAGACCCCGTCTCTAATAAAAATAAAAAAAAAATTATCTGGACAACTAAAAATATATATACATATATATAAAAAAAAAAATTAGTCCAGTATGGTGGCACGTGCCTGTCTGTATTCCCAGCTACTCGGGGGGATGAGGCAGGAGGATCGCTTGAGCCCAGGAGTTTGAGGTTGCTGTGAGCTAGGCTGATGCCACAGCGCACTCTAGCCCGGGGAACAAAATGAGACTCTGACTCAAAAATAAAAAAAAGAAAGAAAAAGAAAAAGAAAGGACTGCGGAGCATGCACCTTGCTCCACCCAGTTCTGCCAGAACAGCCAGGGCTGCACCCAGAGAAAACCTAGCTGCCTTGGCTGCTCTGTGTACGAGCCTGCCACCAGCCAAGACGACAGCCTGCCACTGTTACTCCTGCTTCCTGCCATCTCTCAAAGGGGGCCACAACCTCAGACACAAGCAACAGGAGGCAGAGATTTTCGAGAAACCACACAGGGAACAACACAGCCCAGAGTCCTCACAGCAAACTCAGGGACTCACGGAAGCCAGGAAATCTATAAAGGGCTGAGACCAGATGGCCATGCCGAGTCCTCCAACACCGGAGCAGCCCAGTGGTCTCCTGCCCGTGTCCTGCAGGTACAAGCTGCCACATGGGGTCCGAGTAAGCACAGCAGCTCCCAACCGAGACAGAAAGGGCCACGCTGGACCCTCAGGGAACAGGGTGAGCCCAGAGGATCCCTGGGTGTGAGGGGATGGGTTTCTCAGAAGCAACTAGGGGAAGGAGGAGATCTGACGAGTGAGGAGCGGGAAAGTGTCTGGAACAGGTCTCCAAGACTCCTGCCTCTCCAGGAGGACAGTCACGGTCACGCCTGGCAGTCCAGGGAAACTAGAGCTTGGACGAGAAGTGCCAACAGGGAGCCCAGGCCATGACGCTCGGGTTATATGTGGGCTGAACGCCCCGCCTGAGAAGCGGAGAAAGAACAGGCAGGAGAAGAGAAGACAGTGGGTCTGGGAGGGCTGGACCCTGGACACTGCCTCGCTTCAGCCCCTTCCTGTGAGCGGGGAGGACTGCAGCCACCAGGCCCAGGGCGCTCAGGACCACACATGTCCTCACATCCCAACTCCAGGCTCCCAGGAACCCTGTGGGAGCAAGAATCACGCCGTCCACCCTAGGGGTCACCTACGATCCTCTGAGCTACTGACCACGGCTTCCACCAGCGCTGCAGCTGTGTGGCCCTGATTTAAAGGAGACACACTAGCCTGAGTCAGTCACTGGGAAAATAAATGAGAGCTCTTACTCAGACCTCAAAATTCAGACTCTGAGCTCTATTTTTAATGAAAGTTTAGGGGGAAAAACACATTAACATGGCTGGGGGAGAATCTGTGTGAAACGTGGACAGACACAAGGTGGTCAGCCCCAAGTCACAAAGGCCACACTGCCGCCGGAAACAACTCAGTGAACAGAGTTTATAAAGCCCAGGGGCGTCTGAAGAACTGAGGAAGAGGCAACTTTGACATTGACCTTCAACACTGGCTAGAAAAGTGACTCTGGAAATTGCCATATGAAATGCCCAAGTGTCCAGCGCCAGACGGGAGAGCCCCAGAGCAGGTGGGCTGGGAGCCCTGGAGAAGAGGGCGTCACTCGCATACACGGGCACCTTCCTCCTCAGCGCCAGCACCTCACAAGCAATTGACACAGCAGGAGACAGGAAGGCCAGGAAAACAGGCACAGTGCACGGAACACCCAACCCAAAGCTACACTCCTCGGCTCCAAGCAGACACCACGGCTCTGGCTCTGGGCAGGTCAGCAGAGCGGAAAGGGACGGTGCCAAGCTCCTCTGCAGAGTCCTCGGGGGACGTGCCCTGGTATTCTCAAATGGTTGGGACAGGAGGCGGAAGACTAGGATGCCTCGGTAGGCCCTAATAAACTCCTCCCCAAGGAACACCACTAGGTAGTGCAGGTGAGGCCCGGAGAGCACTAGAACAACACTGTGGACATGTCTTCACAGTGAGAAGCTGTGCATGTGGCTAGAAACGCACATCCCACCTCGAGGCCGCTGACCCTGCTGGTTTCCAAGACCCCCCCAGGCATCTAGCGAGAGCCCTCTCTCGGCTATGCCGCCCACCCACAGGGAACGGTGCATGTCGTTCCAGGGGTGGTGAGGCCGCCAGGATCCACCTGCAGTTTGTGGGGTTTCTTCCCATTTCTCCATAACCAGCTCCCTGCCCTCAGAGCCCTACCAAGAACTTATACAACCACATGCACTGAAACCCTCCACGGGGGGTTGAATGGTGGCTCTCAGATACATCAATGTCCTGATCTCCAAAACCCACGAATGTGACCTCATTTGGTTTATAGGTCTTTGCGGACATAACAAAATTAAGGATGTTGGGCCCTAAATCCAATGGCAAGTGTCATAAGACAGAAGACAGGGAGGTAGGAAAGGCCACAGGAGACGAGGCATCCACTCAGGCCCCCAGCTGCGCCCCGTGTCCTCCCTGTCCCCTACGCAGCAGGGCCACAAGCCGGGGAACACTGGGGCCACCAGAGCTAGAGAGAAGCGAGGAAGGACTCCCCCCAGGGCACCTGGACAGAGTGTGGCCTGCCCATACTGGTCCCCAGACTGGGAAAGAATACAATTCTATTGTTTTAAGCCACCCAGGGGGGCTGTTCCAAGCGACAGCCTGCATGTTCAGGGGGACGGGAGCAGCCAGATGGGGACCCTAGAGGAGCCTGAGCACACTCACTTCAGATCGTATTCACTGGGGTTGAAGTTCTGCCGCCGGCACGTGTCCTCCAGAACCTGGGGGTGAGACGAAAGGACCGTGAGGCCCGAGTGTGGCCAGGCGGACAGGCCAGCAAGAGGCCGGCCAAGCGTGCTCAGTTCCCTGCTGAGCCAGGTGGCTCTGCCCAGACAAAACCCAGTACGGGACCCCAGGACGGATGGTCCCCTCAGCTGCTCCAAGTGTCCCCTCTGCAAATCCCATCCACTCTGCCTCCCTTCTCCACTGTCCTCTCCAGCCCCAGCTCTGTGGCCACATTCTCCGTGCCTGGGTCCCCTGCTTCTAGGCTCCCAAGGGCCTCTACCGCTGACATCGTCCCGGCACAAACCCTGGGGTGTCCCGGCAGACAATAAGGTTCAACCAAGAGCTCTGCAATCTGCCTGCGCCTGCCCGGCAGCCCCTGCACCTGCTCGCTGCCCAGACCGCGTCGCCCGGGGGCCGGCTCCCGCGGGTCCCTCACGCAGGTCCTGCCTGTCCACGCGTGCCACTCATCCGCTCAGGCCCCCAGCCGCGCCCCGTGCCCTCCCTGTCCCCTACGCAGCAGGGCTCCACACAGACGCCTCTGATCAACTCCAGCTCACAGGCTGCCCCGGGAAAAGCGCGGCCAGTGACGCGGCGAAAACCGCCCCCAGAACGAGGCCCCGCGCACGCCGCGCTGCGGGCCGGGCTCCGGGTCCCGGGAAGCTCGGGAGCGAAGGCGTGAGGGCCGCGACCCCCGCGGTGCGAGGGCACGCGCGCCGCCCGGCCCGCCCCGGGGCCCCGCCCACCGCCCCGCGCGCCGCAGCGCCGGGACCGCGGAAGCCGGAGCCCGCGGGCCGCGGAGGGCGGACCCGCCCGCGCAGGAGGCCGCCCATTGGCGCGGCCGCCCTCCCGCCGGCCGCCCCCGCCCGGCGCTCCCTGGTAGGAGAAGCGGGGCCGCCGCCCGCTCGCCGGGCCGCGGCCGCACCTGCAGCAGCACGGTGCTCGGCGTCACCTTCACCGTGTGGCGCCGCCCGTTCGGGGCCAGCACCGACACCGCGGCGCCTCCGCCGCCCGCCGGGGCCGCCATCTTCCGCGCACGTGACCGCGGCGGCTCCGCTTCAAACTTTATCCGCAACAGCCGGACGCACGGCGCGCGCCGCGGGGGCGGGGCCGGCTTCCGGGCGCAGGCCACGCCCCCGGCCACGCCCCCGCCCGGCCGTGGGAGCTCGCGCGGGACTCCGGGCGACCCCGACGGCGCGGGATCCCGGGAGCGCGGCCACCACGGGCTCGCCGGGCTCGGGCCTGGCCGGAGCCGGAGCCACGCGCGCTCAGACGCGACGGCGCCACGTGGACCCCGCGCCCCTCCCCGGCCCGGCGCCCCCTAGCCCCAGCCCTGCGCCCTCCAGCCCCAGCCCTGCGCCCTCCAGCCCCAGCCCTGCGCGGGGCCCGCAGTGGAGCCGGGCCGCCCGCGTCTGTGGAGCTCGGCACCCCGAGGGCGGAAGGGCGGGGCGCCGGGCCGCACCCCGGGCGACCGAGCTGGGCGCTGACCGGGGCGTGCACCCGCGGAGACCCCCGCGGCGGGGCGCCTGCGCCAGCCCCGGTGCCCTGGACGTGGCCACATTCTGAGCCCTGCCTTGGGCTCCTCGCCACGGCTCAGCCCGTTGGCCGGGCCCGTGTCCCTGCGGAAGGGACGCCGTGCGCCCCCGTCGGCCGGTCGTCGGTGCCCCTCCGCTTGGGGGCGGCCCGCGTCAACCCCGCGCGCTGACAGTCGCGGCCTAGGGTCGCGCGGCCCCAGGGACGCGCCGCGTCCTGCCGGCCCCGCTGCGCCCGCGCGGCCTCCCACCCCCACGGAGTCACACTCGGCGTCTGCGCCCTTGTGTTAATTTTTAAGACACTGGCATAATTTGAAAACTCTGGGACTCTTCTTTAGACTGCCCCCCCGCCACGCCTGTATCCTCAGGTTTAATGTTTGGGAAAGCCAGGGGTAGGTGGCAAGCCATCAGCAGTTTGCCCTGTTAGGATGTGGAGTTTGGCCACATGGTCAAGTTGGGGTCTGCTAGATTCCTCCTCGGTCAAGGTCCCTGGCTCTTTGTGGAGTAAATAAGCCATGTGTGACGTAATTCTTTGAGACCACAAATACCATGTTTTCTCAATAACCATTTGCTCAAGAGTTTTAGCATCAATTAATGAATAGATTCGTTATTACATATATGTTGCAAAGTCACGACTTTCCAAGTTCACCGTTGCATCTACATTTATAGGCATTTTTTTGGTCAAGAAAACTTTTTAAAAAATCTTAAATATTAACATGAGTTTATGCATTCTCTTTTTTAATCAGTTGTTATTCTTTTTTTTATCTCAAATTGATCCAAATTTGACCAGTGAGAGCTTGAAGCTGGTTCCAATGCTCTTTTATTTGGGGGGGAAGGGGATGAATTACTTTTTATATTATTTCGAACTTAGCTGGGCATATTGGTGCCCACGCCCGTGGTCCCAGCCACTCAGGATTCTGAGGCAAGAGGATTGCGATTGCTTGAGCTCAGGAGTTCAAAGCTGCAGTGTGCCGTGATGGCACTTGTGAACAGCCACTGCGCTCCAACCTGGGCAGCACTATGACACCTCATCTCTAAAAAAAGAAGAAGAAAGTCGCAAAAAGAGTACAAAGAACTCCTATATATCTTTTAGGCAGGTTAATCAGTTGTTGGCACGCCATCCCATTTGCTTTATCTTATATAAATAGCTACAATATGTATATAATTTTTCTGAGCCATTTGAGAGTAAGTTGTAGACATTGTGCCCTTTCCCCACTACTAAATACCTGCATGTCTGTATTTCCTAAGAATAAGCTCATCCCTTATATAACTACTGTCCTGTTGCACAAAATTGGGAACTCTAACACCATACTCAGCTACCCAAAATTATTTGTCTCAGTGAGGCCGGGCGCGGTGGCTCACGCCTGTAATCCTAGCACTCTGGGAGGCTGAGGCGGGTGGTTTGCTCGAGATCAGGAGTTTGAAACCAGCCTGAGCAAGAGCTAGGCCCTGACTCTACTATAAATAGAAAGAAATTAATTGACCAACTAAAAATATATAGAAAAAATTAGCCGAGAATGGTGGTGCATGCCTGTAGTCCCAGCTTCTAGGGAGGCTGAGGCAGGAGGATTGCTTGAGCCCAGGAGTTTGAGGTTGCTGTGAGCTAGGCTGAAACCACGACACTCTACCCTGGGCAAAGAGTGAGACTCTGTCTCAAAAAAAAAAAAAAAATTGTTCTAGTGACACCTTTCCTGTATTATTTTGACATTTCCATTATTCTTTCAGCACTTCCTGCCCTAGCCCTGACATTAGCCATTTCTCAAGGAAGCTCCAGTTCCTTTTAAAGGGAAGTGGGGGCCAGGCATGGTGGCTCACACCTGTAATCCTAGCACTCTGGGAGGCCAGGTAGGCGGATTGCTCGAGGTCAGGAGTTCAAAACCAGCTCTGAGCAAGAGCGAGACCCCATCTCTACTAAAAATAGAAAGAAATTAATTGGCCAACTAACATATATAGAAAAAATTAGCCGGGCATGGTGGCACATGCCTGTAGTCCCAGCTACTTGTGAGGCTGAGGCAGCAGGATTGCTTGAGCCCAGGAGTTTGAGGTTTCTGTGAGCTAGGCTAATGGCATGGCACTCATTCTAGCCTGGGCAACAAAGTGAGACTCTGTCTCAAAAAAAAAAAAAAAAAGAAAAAGGGAAGCGGGGCCAGGTGGTGGTTCATGCTTGTAATGCCAGCACTTTGGGATGGCAGGGCAGGAGGATCACTTGAGGTCAGGGGTTTAAGACCAGCCTGGGCCACATAGCAAGACCCCGTCTCTAAAATGTGTGTGTATATATATATAATTTTCTTAAATGGAAATTGGATTTAGAAACCAACTTCTGGGTGTTGAGTGTGCTTATTGCTACTGGGGTGTCACTGCCTTCTGGGCCCTCTCAGGGGACAGAGCTAGTGTCATCAATTTATCTGAATACTTCTAAATCCAAGCCATGCCTCGGCCTTCTCCCTATTCTTCCCTCATTCAATATTTGTATTTGGTTGAATCATGTGAAATTGCCAATGGTTGACCATTTTTGACCTACAAAAAATGGCAAATATATATAGTTCAACCTAATATCTCCTTTCTACACAGTGAGAACCCTTTTTTTTGAGACAGAGTCTCACTCTGTTGCCCCGGCTAGAGTGTTGTGGTGTCAGCCTAGCTCACAGCAACCTCAAACTCCTGGGCTCAAGCGATCCTCCTTCCTCAGCCTTCCAAGTAGCTGGGACTACAGGCATGTGCCACCACGCCCGGCTAATTTTTTCTATGTATATTTTTAGTTGTCCAATTAATTTCTTTCTTTCTTTTCTTTTCTTTTCTTTTTTTTTTTTTTTTTTTTTGAGACAGAGTCTCGCTTTGTTGCCCAGGCTAGAGTGAATGCCGTGGCATCAGCCTAGCTCACAGCAACCTCAAACTCCTGGCCTCAAGCAGTCCTGCTACCTCAGCCTCCCAAGTAGCTGGGACTACAGGCATGTGCCACTATGCCCGGCTAATTTCTTTCTATATATATATTAGTTGGCCTATTCATTTCTTTCTATTTTTAGTAGAGATGGGGTCTCGCTCTTGCTCAGGCTGGTCTCAAACTCCTGAGCTCAAACTATCCTCCCGCCTCGGCCTCCAGAGAGCTCGGATTACAGGCTTGAGCCACCGTGGCCGGCCGAGAACCCTTATTTTTTGTAAATCAATATATTTATTAATTTACTCTGTTCTAAAATACCTTCCAAATAGTTTCCAAGGTAGTACAGCAATTCCACTACAAACTACAGACCTACTAAACAAATTTCAAGATCTCTCTGTAGTTATTTTTGTCGTTAGAGTGAATGCCATTAGAGAAATATAGTGTTCAAAAGTTAATTTAATTAATTCATTCTTCCGTGTCAGGTTAGTGTCTTAGGACCTCCAGATGCAGAACCAATAGGATATATATAAATATTTACGAAAAGAGATTTGCTGGGATGGCTCACATGATGATGTAGGCTGAGATGTCCCGCAGTCCGCTGTCTGCAAGCTGGAGCTCGGGGAAGGGGAAAGCCAGGGACGTAATTCAGTCCAAGTCCAAAGGTCTGAGAACCAGGAGCTCCAATATCCAAGGGCAGGAAGAGAGGGATGTCTCAGCTCAAGAAGAGGATAGAGAATTTGCCCTTCCCCTGCCTTCAATGGATGGGATGATTCCTGCCCACAGTGGGGACGGCAGATCTTCTGTACTCGGTCCACTGATTCACATACTAATCTCTTTCAGAAACAGCCTTGCAGACACACCCAGAAATGATGTTTTGCCAACTATCTGGGTCTCCTTTAGCCCAGTTAAGTTGATATATAAAATTAACTATCACAGGCCAGGTGAGGTAGCTGAGGCCTGTAATCCTAGCACTCTGGGAGGCCAAGGAGAGAGGATCACTTGAGCTCAGGAGTTTGAGGTCGCTGTGAGCTATGATGATGCCACTGCACTCGACCCAGGGCAACAGAGCTACACTGTCTCAAAAAATAAAAATAAAAAATTAACCTTCACAGGTTAGGTTAATAATTTGATACATGGTTAGGTTCATTTATTTTGGTTTCCACTGAATTTTAGGATTTCCTTTTTTTCATCCTTTTTTATTCAATGTTAAATTTTTATTGTCCGAATATGTATTTGATTCAAAGGTTATAAGTATAAAACAACACATGGCCTCATCTCTTCCTCCCCATGTACCCCCTCCTCCATGGAAAACCACTTTCATTCAGTTCTTGGGGAGCCTGCCTGTGTTTTGTTTTGTTTTGTTTTTTTGCAAAGAGGGACGAATGCATGTGTTGGGATGCTAAGTGGGCACAGATGAAGCTTCCTACTCTCCTTTCTTACACAACAGGTGACATGCCACATGCCCTCTTGTGCTCTTTCTCCCTGCGGCCCACATTTTTGGTGATGGATGTGTCACCCACTCTGGGACCATCTGTAACTCTGCTCCCCTCCCGATACAAAAAGCCAAGAGCAGAAAGCGTTCCCTGCTGGGAGGGCTTCACAGCAGGTAAAGTGGAGTGGTCTGGGTGTGAGGTCCACACAGGCAGCTGAGTGGAGTGGTCTGGGTGTGAGTTCCAGGCTGGCTGCTCCACCTGGCT